TCACGCATCTTGGTCCATCATATATATATACACTGTATCTTGAATTGCCCCATCGATCAAGCTGCTCCCGCTTTTGGCATTCGTATAGTAACCGTCCTGACTCGATAGAAGCTGTGACGCGGCGTTGCGAATTGAAGATGGTTGCTAAGTTTGCCAAAAGTGGGTGGAGTATGATGGAACTTAGCAACCAACAACCAATCAGGTTCTTTGTTTTATGATTTATAATCGTATGTATAATGCATGTGGAATTTACACGCATATATATACATGGAATTATGTGTATATTCTGTATGGCGTCTCTAATGCAATAAACTTCCATGAATTTTAGAGGTTGCTAAGGACGTCATAAGTGGGAGGGGTTTAGTGATTTACCTGCTCCCTAAAGGCTGAAGCAAGGTTGTCTACTCATATTATAGGCGGAAGATAACGCTACGGTACAACTCGGAACTATAGAGACCAAAATGTCCTTGGTAATGGTTGGTATTTGAACTCTAATCTCCATAAAGTTCCGATATCATAATTCTAACCACGTTGATATTTTAACATATTCGCCATTACGTTCTATAACCCCTTACGGTAAATGATAACCTTACGATTACTGAACCTAACCATTCACCATGACCACCACCACCACCACGATAACGTTCCCTTATGTTAACTAACCGCTCGGTATATTATGGAACGTTAACGAGTGTATGTGTGTGGACTATTGGTATTGCCGAGGTGTTTGAGACATGAGTGTGCATTTGTGCATCATGAATGTGTTAGTCAGGATTAGCATGTTTGTGTCTTGTGTTTGTGTGAGTGTCTGTTGTTACGTCTGCAGCGTTTGTGTCTCTCTCCAACTGTACGTAATTATCGACTGTACGTTTGTAAATCTCTAAGTGTACGTAATTATCGACTGTACGTTTGTGTATCTCCAACTGTACGTAATTATCGACTGTACGTTTGTGTATCTCCAACTGTACGTAATTATCGACTGTACGTTTGTGTATCTCCAACTGTACGTAATTATCGACTGTACGTTTGTAAATCTCTAAGTGTACGTAATTATCGACTGTACGTTTGTGTATCTCTAACTGTACGTAATTATCGACTGTACGTTTGTGTATCTCTTAAGTGTACGTGGCGGAAGATCCAACTGTGTTCAGGGAGACGACACTCAGGCGGGCTTATGACGCTGTCTGCTGCCTCCTCCTGCCCTGCCCTGCCTGTCCGTCTGTCTACCTCAGTGGTGGATCTGATTGCCCGCGGTCAATTATGCCTTCCAACCACGCCGAACCCTCCACACCACGCAACCAAGTGCACCCTGGTGGATGAAGGGACAGTAACTACGCCACATTCTCAGGGCAACAACTACGTCATATTCGACAGGACAGAACTACGCCATAACTACAACACTAAGCAACTATGTCACTTAACTTTTACTACTTAAGCAACTGCGCCTTTAGCAAGCATGTGAGTTACTTTAGTCAAGCAACTGCGCCATTTTAGACATGTAACGTAGCCATGTTATGATGAGAGACAAAGAAATGCGTTGTTTTAGACATGTAACTGTACAGATGGTGGAGGAATTAGTGTTTACAGCTCGGGAGGTTAAATGTTTACAGTCCCCATTGTTTAGGATTAAAAATATTCAAGAATTGATGTTTAGTAACTGATGAGTTTAATATTTAGAAGCTTCATTATTGATTAAACATTTACAAGTCATCGTATTTAGTATTTACAAGTGAGATTTAATGTTTACAAGCCTCTATGTTTAGTATTTAAAGCGGAGATTTTACATTGATAAATTCACAGGCGTTCATATTTACAATTTAATATTTACATTTTACAATTTACAATTCATTGGTGTTTAATAAAATAAATCGGTATATTAATCAGTATTTACAAGTGTTAACAAGCGCCTATCTTTAGTATTTACCCCAAAGAGAAAGAAAAAAACAACAATGTTTAATTAGTAAGCCTCCAAGGATATAATGTTTACAAATGGCAACAGCACGAACGTAGCTCTTAGGCGTTGTCAGTGTGGGTGTATCAACTGTCTCGTAGACGAAGCAGTTGTACCATACCATATTATTAACATCAAGCAACAGTTGCTAAATATTTCCAGTACTCTCATCGTGGTGAATTTTGTCTGTACATGCCAACACTAGGAATAGTTTACAATATTACTAATGTACTAGGAATTGTTTATAATATTACTAATGGTATTTTGGTGTGTGTGTGTGTGTGTGTGTGTGTGTGTGTGTGTGTGTGTGTGTGTGTGTGTGTGTGTGTGTGTGTGTGTGTGTGTGTGTGTGTGTTCTGTTTAGAGGTACTATCTATATTTTGAACTTTTATTCCCAATTACGAGGAATCTTAACTGATGGTATTAAAAATTTTTATCGTTTATTCCTTAGTGAGACAAACCCAATTTATTATTATTATTATTATTATTATTATTATTATTATTATTATTATTATTATTATTATTATTATTATTATTATTATTATTATTATTATCATCTTAATTTCTTCATAATAGGACAGCCCTGAATTATAATTATTAACGACGCCTTAACTCTTAATCGTAAATGAGACGAACTTAAATTACCATTACTAATAGCCTGGTAGCCCTTATTATGATAATGGTCTCACACAACAATTTATGGCATAGAAAGTAAAACTAGTATTAACTTATCACAGATGAGAAACAATGGGGGGTTGGATAGATAAATTAGTGCAGAGTGTAATAAGATCAGTGTTGTAATGTAATGCAGTAATGAAATATTAAACCTGGGGTATATTTACACTAGGGGGGGAAGGTCGTGATGGAGTGTTATTTAAAATTCCAGGTGGAGCTAATGGAAGTACTGGAGAATCTCCGGCCTAGTTTATTTCAGCTAGAGATTAACCTGCATCATAGCGCTAACCTAACCTAACCTAACCCAACCTAACCTAACCTAACCTAACTGCTAAAAAGAGGACGAAAATTGAAGACAAAGAAAAAAAAAACCAATCCGTTCACTCTCCTCTCGTCTGGAAGTGACACAGAGAATTGCCCAGTAGTTTATGTGGAATGTTAATCACAGTAAGGTTGAAAACTACAAGCGGGAGACTCCTGTGTAATTAAATACATGAAATAATAACTGGTTTGTGTGGAGGTCGGGAAGGTGACCGACCCTCTCCGACACACGATCCAAGTCTCTTCGTATGGGATTCCTTGATTTGTGCACAGAGATATAAAGGTGTTTTTTTTTTATATATATACAGTAACCTTGTGTGTTTGATGTGTGTTGTGATCTTATTATTATTTTTATGTGACGTTATTTGTGTATGGTGTGAGGAAAGGAATTATTCTTGAAGTGAAGTTAAATGGAAAAAATATGGTAGTTTAAATTGAAGTTAAATGGGAAATATATTGTAGTTTGAAATGAAGTTATATGGGAAATATATTGTAGTTTGAAATGAAGTTAAATGGGAAAAATACTGTAGTTTGAATTGAAGTTAAATGGAAAATATTGTAGTTTGAAGTGACGTAAAATGGGAAAAAAATATAGTAATTTGAAGTGAAGTAAATTGAGAAAAATATAGTAGTTTGAAGTGAAGTAAAATGGGAAAAAATATAGTAATTTGAAGTGAAGTAAATTGAGAAAAATATAGTAGTTTGAAGTGAAGTAAAATGGGAAAAATATAGTAATTTGAAGTGAAGTAAATTGAGAAAAATGTAGTAGTTTGAAGTGAAGTAAAATGGGAAAAAATATAGTAATTTGAAGTGAAGTAAAATGGGAAAAAATATAGTAGCTTAATTATGGAATTAATGATAATAAAAATTCGATATTGTCAGGAATTCGTGTGATTTATTTAACAGATTTTTTGTTTTATGCTGTTTAACCTAACCTAACCTGATCATATAACTAAGATGGTAAAAATCGCATAAAACAGACGATCGTTCAAGTGGGATGACACCTTCCAAGTCTAGTCAAGAGAGCGATATGTAAGCAAGACGACATGACCGTAATTTTCAGTATAATGATTAGTGTTAGGTTTAATATCATTGTAATGACAGTGTAATATTGTAATAACGAAATGATAGGAGCATTGTGTTGAGCAGTTTTCGAAAATTATAATGCTGTAGCGATGAAAATGATAGGAGGGTGGAGTACGGCATTTCCTGATAGCGTAGTGCGGTCTGCCTCACAACTGTCAACATGAATTAAGGACTGACTATACCTTTCCCAACACAGTCTCGTATGATGCCTTGAATACACTCGTAAAGTCTCTCTCTCTCTATGACTTAATACACCCATAAAGTATTGTTGTTAAGGCTGCCACTCGCGACTCACCACAGCGCTTAACGTTCCCGTTCGGTGTAGGTTAACCAATTTTTTTCTCCAGGATGTTCTACCCAAATTCTCTTGATCACATTCACTCGTCAGAAATGGGTCGGTAAGTCATGAGAACATATCTTCGTATATATCATTGTAAAGGTAATTAAGGCCGTGTTCGGTTGTAAGGGCTGTATTTCCTCTGGTTGAGGTGGGATGACGGGTGGAAGGAGGTTTATAGATGATGCCCCCTATACCGTCTTGGGGAAAAAAGTCACTGGTTTGGGGGCTGCTCATGATGCAGTGTTCCCAGCTCGCATTAGTCTAGTTACCCCTGTAATTGGTGTTTAAATCTTGAAATTACAGTACTTTTCCATTAAGAGCATCTCGCTTTTTTTCTTTTTTTATGCTAATTGTTACTAATGACACAGTTTGTGAATATCGGAGTTACATTAGCGTTGTGCGAGGGTACACGGGGCTAATCCTTACCGGGAACAGCCACAACAGATCCTTTCTCACTGTTGAAATTATACTTTTGTTTTTGTACGTCGAAGGTTTATGTTTATGTAGATTTATACCATAACATCGCTTCCTATGAATGAAATTACTACCTTACATGAATACTCTGTGTCTTTTATTTAGTTGTTTATTGAGACTAATGACAAGTCTTCTCTTCCCTCCCCCCTCCAGATGGTCTCACTCGCATCTGGCTACAGCAAACACATCGCCAGAAGGCCTGAGGCAGAATCTTGGCCTCTCATTCTCTCTCACCTCTCCCTCACCCTGGCCTCTCATCTGTCTTGGCCTCTCCATCACCCACACCTCGGGAGACCAACTACCACAAGTACTTCCAAGTAAACTCGTGTACATTCTTTGGCACCTGAGCTCATACTGGGTTTAGTGCCATCGTGTTCAAGTTCTTCCTTGGTGCCAAAACGAGGAAAAATCAGGTTTCACTTCACGTCAAGACAAGAAGATTCTCGTAGTGCCAAGACAAAGGAAGATTTCTCAGTGCCAAGACGAGAAGGATTCATTTAGTGCCAAAATAAGGTGTGACGTCGTGCCAAAATAAGAAGTGACATAGTGCCAAAATAAGGAGTGACGTAGTGCCAAAATAAGGAGTGACGTAGTGCCAAAATAAGGAGTGACGTAGTGCCAAAATAAGGAGTGACGTAGTGCCAAAATAAGGAGTGACGTAGTGCCAAAATCGTAAATAAAGTGAGTATAGTTTATAGTGAAGTGTCGTGTGCGCCAGAAAGGTTCGTCAACTCGTCTTATTTATCTAACTCGTGTGGAATTTTTGTAGTGCGGATCCAAGTGCCCCCAAAAATATAGTTTCCCGGAAAATATACGAATAATTTGTGAAATATTGTGTTATAGTTATCTTGTTAGTGAAGTGCAATATTTGTATCAGAAAAAAACCAAGACTTTATTAATTAGCTTGTAAAAAAGAAAAAGATTGAAATATTCTGTGTTTTGAAGCAGTTTCGGTTAATATTTGCTCGTTCGTGATTAGAAAATTATATTTGTTGATATATTTCTTTCATTATTTCGCGTAAAGACTCAGATAAAGACGGATAAAATTATGCAGTTCCATCACCTCCTCCTCGTCAGCCACAAGAACCGCGGTAGTTCCTTCCAAGACACTGGATGAACCACCTTAGCTATCCTTGGCCATTTGACTCCCAAGACATGCCAGAGCGACTAAGAGGAGTTCGTCACCGGGAGGCCTGGCACGCCCCAGTGTAGTGTGTGTGGCGTCACCAGTGTTGTGAGTGTTGAGGTAATCGGAAACGCATTACCCACTTGAGACGCCACATTGGAGGAGAGAGAGAGAGAGACATGATGAAGGACATACGGGAATATGGCTTTGTGTTACACTGCTATGTCGTGGAGGTGTTGTGCTACTAAGAGTGTTTAGTGCCGTGAGTGTAAATACATGGTGTGTGTAGCCGGTGTCGTCCAGGGCCCCCTTACACTCCGTGACTCACCAAAATGGGGCAAAGCCACGGACGACTGAACGACTCTGAGCGTGAGTACTAACCTTACCTTTACTGTGTTTATTTTCTTCACTTAAATGTAAACGTTTAGCGTGTTACTATTATTATTAGTATTATTAATGTTGCTATTACTGTTGTTATTATTATCATTCACTTTGTTTTCTCCCCAGATCCAGGATTTTCTTTTATTGCAGTATAATACTTTGACATAAACCATCAGTAAGTTTTATTACACGTTGTCTTATAATTGGTGCTAATTGAACTTATCTACGTAGGTTAGAATCTCATTGAGGTTTTGATACTGTATTTAGACTTTAATTTAATTCCTCAGCATAAGTCAGGCAGTTGGAAGCGCTCTTAAATCTCTACTTACAAGGAAAATTTAACTTAGGAATCTTTGAGCATCCGAACCCAGGTTGTTATTTTGAAGTCTAAACACAAATTGCCTTGAGAGAGACATCATCGTAATTGCATAAAAGGCGTTTCAATTCTCTTTCAATTATGTCACTTTTCCTTCTCTCGGGGTGTGGTGTGCAGGAGCTTCACTTGTAAGAATTTACGAAGGGTCGGAGGAGAAGCTCGAGTTCTTGGTTATATCATTTAGATTACAATAGGCGTCGTTTTAATTCTATCTCTTTACCTCCCTCTCCCCCCCCGCCATTTGCCCGTGACGTAACTTAGTGCTTATATGAACGCTCATTGTTATCGTTTACATCTGTCGTGTTCGCGCATGAGTTGGCAGGGAGCAGCAAGATCAAGCCATATTTTTCTTAGTTGTATCTGTAGAACTAACAAGGTTTACCTAAACACATAACTCATTTGGAAAGTTTTCTCCACAAATATGACTTAATTTGTCAAGAATCAACAATAGCCCTACAAATGTTCCCTCCTGACGATTGTTTTGTTGTCAGCCAGAGTGAGGTGTGTGTGTGTGTGTGTGTGTGTGTGTAATAATAATAATAATAATAATAATTAACGGTTTATTGAAGAGCTTGGCAGCCAGAAGGCTGAAAATATACAGTTACATATTGGGAAATACGAATTACAAATAATATACAAGTGACATAAGTGACACAAATACACATATAGTAACTTAGATGGGGATCAGCTCAAACTACAGTTCATTTCAACATAGTGACAGTGTAGGGAGCAGTGTTTACTGGGAGGAATACACTGCTTTATTACATGTTATTGATAATTTTACAATGGTTGGGACTGGGCTGTTCTTATAGCGATCAGTTCGTGCAATGTATGGGCTGGATGCGGTTGTGGTGTCGAACAGCAATTCTCGGACAGGGGATCTCAGTGTGTGTGTGTGTGTGTGTGTGTGTGTGTGTGTGTGTGCGTGTGTGTGTGTGTGTGTGTGTGTGTGTGTGTGTGTGTGTGTGTGTGTGTGTGTGTGTGTGTGTGTGTGTGTGTGTACTGTAATATATCACCCACACAATAATATATAGTTAAAATAATTGAGCATAAAGATTTATGACGTGTACAGATTGAGCCACGCCCATCATGCCCCCCACCTCGCCTACCATGCCCGCTTCGCCTACCCTGCCGCTTCTGCCCACTCCCCACACCACCTACCATGCCCGCTTCCCCACCCTGCCACCCTGCCTACCATGCCCCACTTCGCCTCACTCCCACACCCGCCTACCATGCCTGCTTCGCCTACTCCTGCCACCCCGCCTCGCCCACTCCCTACCACCTCGCCTGCCTACCCCCACACCCGCCTCACCCACCCTGCCGCCTGGCCCACTCCTGCCACCCTGCCCGCCCACCCTGCCACCCCTGTCCTCCACCTCTGCCACCCTCGCTCACTCACACCCTTGCCTCTCCATCCCTGCCACCTCGCCTCACCCCACTCCTGCCCGCTTCTGCCCACCCTGCTCGCTTCGCCACCCTGCCCCCTGCCACTCCCTGCCCCCTCGCTCACCCCACACCTCGCCCCGCCCACCCTGCCGCCCTGCCTACCATGCCCCTTGTAAACCTGTACCACTACTCTCTCTCTCTCTCTCCCCCCACACCCCTACTCTCTCTCTCCCACACTCTCCCTTTCTTTCCCCCCTCTCTCCCTCACTCTCTCCCTCACACCCCTACTCTCTCTCCCACACCTCCCTTTTCCCCCTCTCTCCCTCACTCGTCTCCCCTGACACCCCTACCTCTCTCCCACACCTCCCTTTCTTCCCTCTCTCCCTCACTCTCTCCCTCACACCCCTACTCTCTCTCCCACACCCCTCCCTTTCTTTCCCCCTCTCTCCCTCACTCTCTCCCCCTCACACCCCCACTCTCTCCCACACTCTCCCTTTCTTTTCCCCTCTCTCTCCCCCCTCACCCTCTCCCCCCCTCACACCCCCACTCTCTCTCCCACACTCTCCCTTCTTCCCCCCTCTCACCTCTCCCTCACACCCCTACTCTCTCTCTCTCCCCACACCTCCTTTCCCCCCTCTCCCTCACCTCGTCTCCCTCACATCCCCACTCTCTCTCTCCCACACACTCCCTTTCTTTCCCCTCTCTCTCTCCCTCACACCTCTACTTCTCTTCCCACACACTCCTTTCTTCCCCTCTCTCTTCTCCCTCACACTCCTTCCTCTCTCTCCCCACACACTCCCCTTTTCCCCCCCTCTCTCTCTCCTCAGCCTCTCACACTTTTTCTAACCTCCCACACACTCCTTTTTCTTTCCCTCTCTCTCTCTCTCTCCCCCACTCTCCCTCACACCCTCACACCCTCACACCCTCCGATACGTATGGTAGATAATGAAAATCGTAATTAAAATACATAATAACAATAAACAAAATAAATGATAATGATAGGCAAATAGATAATAATGATAAACCAAATAAGTAATGACGATAAACAAAATAAATAAAAAATAATCAAACACATATAAAACAACATTAATAATAAACCTGACGTATAAGAACACACCTATAAATAATCATACCAATTTATAATACATAATAATACAGTTAATACATAAAACCGATATACATAGTTCTTAAAACGTGTTACATATTATTTACACATGGATACATAAGGCTCAGCGGTACATGAGGAGACATACAGACAGACAGACAGACACAGACAGACAGATAAATACAGACAGATAGATAGACAGAACGAGATATAGATCGATGGATAGATAGATAGACGGACGGACAGATAGATAGACGTACGATCGGATAAACAGACAGGGAGACGGGAGTACGGACGGACGGACAGAGAGACGGAAGTACGGACGGACAGACAGTCGGCGTCAGGTCATCTCAAGCTCCACAAAACTTCCGTGTTTAAGAAATTTTCCTCGTATCAGACATAACTTTATTTAAGGCTACTGGTTGTGTCGTAACTAGTCAAGAGTTTGATTCGGTCTCTGTCTCTCGTTCTTCTTATTCTCTCCTCTCTCTCTCTCTCTCCGGATCTCTCTCTTTCTCGATCTCTCTGGTTTTCTCTCTCTCTCTCTGATCTCTCTTTTCTCTCTCTCTCTCTGTCTCTCTGTCTCTCTGTCTCTCATTCTTTCTATTCTCTCTCCCTCTCTCTCTCTCGGGATCTCTCTCTCTCTCTCGGTTTCTCTCTCTCTCTCTCTTCTCTCTTTCTCTCTCTCTCTCTCTCTCTCTCTCGGTTTCTCTCATCTGATAAGCCAAGACTTGGGACGGTGCCATCTTCGCTCTGATTGGCTGGTCAGACGTTTGATTACCACCAATCAATTTTTGCCCTTCTGATTATCACGTTGATGATCGTACGGCAGCCTCTCCTCAAGCTCTGAATTCGTCCCTCTGTGTGTGTGTGTGTGTGTGTGTGTGTGTGTGTGGTGTGTAAATAGCCCCACTATTCCATTTGCTTGATTACTCCACTGTCATATTGCTGTCCTGTAATGAAAGAGAGAGAGAGAAAGAGAGAGAATCCTTGAAAATTTCCTAAATCCGGATCCACAAATATTCGGTGCGTTCAATTTTTGTCTTATAACTGGTGAATAAGAGACCACCAAGAGGTAAGGTGAAGCGGCGTGTCTAGTCTCGAGGTGGCTTTGGGGGAGGGACCTATTGTTGTTATTATTATTGTTATTATTGTTATTATTATTATTGTTATTGTTATTATTATTATTATTGTTATTGTTATTATTGTTATTGTTATTATTATTATTATTATTATTATTATTGTTATTGTTATTATTATTATTATTATTATTATTGTTATTGTTATAATTATTATTATTATTATTATTGTTATTATTATTATTGTTATTATTGTTATTGTTATTATTATTATTATTATTATTATTATTATTATTATTATTATTATATTTATCATGAGTCAGCCATTTAGATACATCCTTATTATCATCCTGTAAGAAGGAAAAATATTAACGTAGGCCGCATTAAAAAAAAAAGATAATCATGGTATCGTAGTTTAAGTGAGGTAGTTTAGACGCATTCCTACATCTCAATTTACAAAGGGAGGACAAAAAAAAATTAACCTATGACATCTGAAGAATTTGTCTTTGTTTTGGGAGCTTGATTGAACCGCTTAGCTGCGTTCTCACATCTCCAGTTACTACGAGGAAATATTTAACGTAAGACTCCTTTAAGAATCTGTCTCTTGTGCCGTAGCTTAAGTGAGCCAATTAGATACGAGATAAAAAAAAAATACGACTGCTTAAGATTTTTGTTTTGGGTGGTGAGGTTCAGATTAAACCCCTCGGATAGGTTCACATAGTTATCTCCATTTAAGAGGGAATTCTTTCTTTTTTTTTAAACGTAAGTCTGTCTGTGAATCAAGGTCCTGCCTGGCTTGGTGAGTGGCGGAGCGGGCTGAGGTGAATGTCAATGGCCTCAGTATGTGGGTTGGGATCCTAACGTGGTGTCTGCTTTAGTTATATGTATGTATGTATGTATGTATGTGTGTATGTGTGTATGTATGTATGTATGTATGTATGTGTGTGTATGTATGTATGTATGTATGTATGTATGTATGTATGTATGTGTATGTATGTATGTATGTATGTATGTATGTATGTATGTATGTACCAGTTTCGGT